AATGTATTTTTGGTTTAACCCCTCCTTGTCTCTTACCTAACTCCTCAACTCCACTAAGGGTGCCCCTGTAAACATGGTTATGTGGGTTGAGAGCCGCACTCCATAGGAAGACCTCATGCTCAAATTAGAAAGAGAAATCGCACATCTTATGTTCAGATAGCTAGCACCAAAAATCTTGTTGAATTGTTTTCACTTGAAAGAGCTGTCTTTGCACATTTGTCTCTTAGCAACAGCATCTGGTGTTCGACCTATTCCAATAGCCTTGGGTGGACTGTTCTTCCTTAGCTAATGTCTCAGAGCTATGTAAAACACTATGTTCATATGGGAGAGGCAGTCTAGTTGCTCACTAACCTTTGACTCTCTTCCTAACTCTAGACAAGCAATACACAGCAGTGGATAGAATTTAGTAAATACGTGGTGACCAGGCTTCCTTACATCTTTTCTGTCTTCCTGTGCTGACCATAAAGACAGAACCATATTCCCAGAATTTCAAGACTTGAGTCATGGATTTCCTTTTAAGATAGGATATGGCATGTGACTCATCAGAGATGTTGAAGAAAATAACAATAATAAGAAAGTTATTTAAGCACTAGACATGGAGAATAATCTTACACAATGTTGTCTGCCTGGTGTTCTGCCTTGCTGATGTGAGCCAGCAACTGCTTTGGCCATAGCTTCTCCTTCCCTGTTGATCCTACAGGAGGTTTTTGAATCCTGGGCTAAAGGTGTTTAATGCCATGACAAAGGACTCAGCTTCAGGAGAATGGCTGCAAGATGGAGGAAACAGATACTGACACAAATTTATACCATTCTCCATGAACTTATATTTATCCATCTATAGACTATCCACTCTTCCTGATTATTCTGCAGCTCTCACACTCTGGCACATACAGCCTTTATAAGTCCAGATCACCAGCTCTGCTCCTGCCTGAGAACTGGACACTGTGTTTCTATATATTAGTAAGTATATATCACATACAGGTGAATACAGTCATCGATTGTTAATATTTTGCTTCTTTGATTAAACCTGACTAATACACTTTTGCATTTTGTTTTCTCCCTTTGATCATCTTTAGATGATCCTCAATCATCTTTGACTTCTGAAGAGGTAGAATATGCTTGATTATCTTACCACAGCCACACAGAAAGCTGTGGTTAAAGTAAAGTCATAGCTGTTTTGGCTTCAATGTAACCATCCACTGCCAGGAAGCCTGGTAGATGAGAATTTAGGGAAGGTGGCCTTTGTTAGAGGTCTGCCTTTGCCCAGAATTTCTGTGGGTGTATGTGTGTTTGTTTGTTTGTTCATTTGTTTCCCTAATAGTGATGTGATGGAACCAAAACAAAAATCACATGGGTGTTCCAGATGTGATGGTACCCAACAAGTATAATAATATGAAGTTCCTAATTGTTCAGTTCTTCGTGATGGTAATAGTGGGATAATAAAAGCAAGCTCTGGCAGCTGGGAAGACATGTTCTTTATCCATTAGAGTTCCCTAAAGGAGTAGCTGCATTGCTCACCTCAGCCACTTCCTTAAGCATAATGGGAAGGTAAACTAATTGGTTTTGACCAGTAAGTATACCGCATGTGAATGACTTGGTTTCCATGCTCCTGAACACTCATGGTGAATGACTGGGCTTCTCAGATGTGTCGTATTCACTCCTGAAGCAGAACATTCAACTGTTCATATTGAATGTGTTCACATCATGCCAGCTATGTGAAGTAATCTCCATGTACAGTTGCTGATGGCAGTGTTTGGTAATGAAATCAAGTTCAAATTATTATGAAACCAGAAAATTACAGGAGAATTCTGTAAAAAGAGAAAAGTGGTCATTGACCACAAAAGCAGATAGCTTGCTTCATATTTAAGATCTAAGTATGAGTTCAAAATGCATAAACGTACCACTCTTCTAAGGAAGGAATCTATATGGCAACCTTATATATTAACCTGATATAAAACCTTTTAGCCCGGTGCATACAGTTTGAATACAGTTGAAACTTGGAGATAAATAAATATAACAACCAAAAAGTAAGCTCAGAGTTCCTTCAAATAAGAAAAACAAGTATAAAAATATAATAAAACTTCTTCACTACCAAACAAATTACTCAGGAAAGACAGAAATAACAAATTTTAAAAGTCTTTCCTCCCCAGAGGTCACAGCTAGTCATAAGGAAATTAAGAACATGTCTATCCAGATTTTCAATAAATTAGCTTAACCTTAACATTATTTTTTGAGAAGCCCACCTTCTTGGCTATAAAATATGTTCTCATCCTACCTCCTAATAATTTAGCTGTCAAGGTGACCAAAGAGACAAGAACATTGAAAGATTCTGACCGCCCACACCTTTTACAATTCCACTGAAGTTCATAATAAATTATATAGTCTTCCTTATTATTTCAGCTAAGTATATTTTAGTTTACATTTAGAGTTTGAGGCTTGCTTTCTGTTTCTCATGATCACTTATATCCAACTTAATGCAGTATACATTCTGCCAACTAAAGTGCCTGGATCAACTTCATCTACCTTTCGGTGATATGCAGTGGATGGTAAGTGCCCCCTTGCCTTGAATATATCAAATTGTTGAGTCACGGCATCAGAATCATATGGTGAATTTTAAACAGATACTGAATACATGGACAGTCAGCTCTTTACTTAATATTTAAAACATAAAGGTAGCTCTGTATTATAAACTGTACAAGTTTTCCAATACCCATTTGTGTCTTCAATTGTTATACTGGGGAGGGTCAGATGTGCCATCTGAAAGTCTACCAGTGGTACAGGAATGCAAATGGAGAAAGAAGAGAGAGCCAAGTACACCCATCCACACTTGATTGGACCTCAGCCCTAGAGCTAAGCTTACTAATATGAGGCTTTAGCCAATCTTCAGAGGAGCTTCTGGGGAGTGAATTGGAGTGTATCTCAGAGCTAGAGACACACAATGCTTAGTACCAGAAGGGACCCAGGGGCAATGCACATGTGGCAGAGAGAAAATTGAAGTAGAGGTGCTGACTATTGAGAAACTATCAGGTGGTTTTTCAAAACTGTCGTATTAGAGATGACAAAAAATAAGTGAAGCAGGAGCCAAACTACTGAGTATTAGTGATGCATCCTGGGCAGGTGTGACTACCAAGTTGCATTAAAGGAAAGACTTTTCGTTGTAGTCATGAGAGCTAAGCAGACTCTGCTCCTCAGACTGTTGGTCTTCACACATTTGTAGGGTGGCATGTATTCCTACTTCTCATGACTTTCAGGGTAGGCCCATGACTTTTCCTTACTCTCCCACAGAATAAATCAATCTGCAGTCATTTTACTCTATAAAAGCAGTCTCACAGCAGTGAGTTCCATGTCTAATATAATTGCAATATCTTTTAAATCATCAGAATTAAAACTCCTTGCCCTAGACTGAAGTTAACTGCTTCTGTAGACATCTTTTGTCCCTTCCTTCCTTTGCTTAATGAGGTTTCTGACTCCAACAGATGCTTTTTCTCTTATTTTGAAGTAAGGAATGGTTTAAGTGGCAATGGTGGCAATCAAACAGAACTTTTGCTTCCAGTCAACCATGATAGAAGTTAAAGATGACATTTCTTTCATTTTGGACTTCCCAGTGTTCTTTAGATTTTGCTGAGCATTAGAAAATAGGCGCAAGGAAGGTGCTTCAGTTGGGAGAACATTTGATGGATGTACAAGAATGAGGGCCAAAATTCCATCTCCAACCCATGGAAAAGACCAGTATCAATGGGCATGCATTTTTAATCCCAGTGTGTTGTAGTGGAGAAGGATTGATAAATGTGAAATCACTGTCCAGTCAGTCTAGCTTACTTGACTAGCTTCAGACTGACTAGTGAGACAGTATGTTAGAAAGAAAGGAAGAAAGAAAGAAGAAAAGAAAAGAAAAGAAGGAAAGAAAGAAAGAAAGAAAGAAAGAAAGAAAGAAAGAAAGAAGGAAAGAAAGAAAGAAGGAAAGAAGGAAAGAAAGGAAGGAAGGAAGGAAGGAAGGAAGGAAGGAAGGAAGGAAGGGAGAAACAAAGGGAGAAAGAGAGAAGAGAGAGAGAGAAAGTTCCTTACAAAGTAAAGACAGAGTCTTAGATTGAAGCATGGCCTCCATATATTAAAGGTAGATTCTAGCAAACACAAATACCCAAAAGATCCCTCACCCATGTGACTGAATTCATCTTCAACTCCTTGTTAACAAGCCCTCCATTCTATTTCCATGTATCCTGACAGTTGACCCTCATTGGTGGATGTTCCTCTAAGGGCTCCAATCTCCCAATTTCAGATCTTCACTTTATAGCTCCCACTACTAAGGCCAAAACCATCCTCCAGAGCTTTCCTGAAACTGAGTCAGACAATAAAAAAGACTGCAGGCACAAGGGTCAAATACTTCCAATGAACCTCCCTACAGATTTATCCCATCCCAGACTCACAGGGCACAAGACAATACATGCCAACCTCAAGCTCCCACTGGAGTCCTTTCCTACTTCTCAGGATCTGGAGGTAGGCAGACAGTTGTAGAATTGCTTTCTTTAGAACTGTTACCCAGGATGTCTAGAATATGTATTGCAAAAGAAAGTAATTAGTTACCCATTATCTCTGAGAATCAGTAGAAAGAGACTATAGCCTACTTTCTCAGCCTGTGGCACATGTTCATCTGTAACTGTGAAGATAAGATTATTCAGATCTTATCTGTGCATAAAATAAAACCTCATATCCTTTTAATATCAGAAACTGTTTCTATTCCATGGGCCCTATTGAGGAAGCATTTGGTTCAATATAAAGTTCTATCACATTTACTTTTAATGACCTAATTATGGCATTTGGGCACCCACAGGCCTGACTGCTAAAAATTAATAGCCCTCCGAGTCCCTTGAAGCAATTTCAGGACTTTGTGAAACCAGTCTGTGTTCTGCAACTCCCATACCACACTGGTCCTGCTGCCTGCTCCTCTCCCACCTGTGCACACCTGCTGTGCACGATGCCTCATCCTGGTTATTACTGCTCACCATGGGATCCAGACCAGATGCTCTCCAAGTTCCCAGCTCACCCTTGCCAACATCATGGGTCTGACAAAGCTGGAGGGCCAATTTTCTTAAAATGGACAGCAACTATTTTTTTCTCATTGTGACATAATTCTGGCCAACCCCACTATCCCTAAACAAGTCAAATAGTTTCAAACTACCACTCTTGCTTAACATCTTGAGAAATGTTTAACCAGTTCCTGCTGTTACTGCCTCTGCTCTCCTATAACCAAGGGAGCTCAAATCTAGTCCCCTCCGGGAAGAACTTTGTTGGAACGTCCATTGGGTGACTTAAAATCCTAATATTGGTCTGGAGGACAAAGCAGTAGGCTTGAAAGTTATCTTAGAGAATGAGTGCCTAACAGGTGGGGATTAATGAACCCAAAGTCAAAAGGCCCCTACCATATTTATTGTGAATTATTTCTCTGGACTCTCACACTTTCCTTACACTAGGTTCCAGGGTGCTGGCTAGGGCTAAATACCAGCAGACTCAGCCTGGGAATGATTCAGCACCCTTATTGTCTTCTTGGTGGAGGGTAAGCCTTTTCATAGCAGACATGGCTCTGGCAGGCCTGTGCTGCTATTCATTCATCCTTTCCTCTCCCCTGCTTCTTTTCCCATTAACATAGGCTTTCCTTCTCCCATCTAGGCAGACCTAATAGCATGGCTTGGGCAAGCCACAGAGGAGTTATGCTTTCTTCACTAATGGTGACAAAAGCTCTGTGTGGGATAAGGAATAGGGAAACTCGACCCTGGTTAGACATTTTGGGGATAAAAGGAAAGCACTGGTGATTGCAGAATACCCTTGATGTGGCCATTTCCTTTGATGTCAGTATATTAAAATGGTAAGATTTTGGCTCAATTCTGTATACAGATACAAGAATTTCAAACTGGTTTGTACCAGGATTCACTTCTAGCTTCTAACCACAGCAGATGCAGCTTTAACTGCAAATGTGTGTATGGGGTAGAGAGTTCAACAGGGAGCTGGACCAGAGTAGAGTCCTGGTTCTCTCATCTACTGGATTTGCTGTTACTTTGTTACTTACCGCATTGTGTTCTTTTACTATAGTAATTTGTACGCTAGTATACTTGACCTTGTGAACAAAGTTTTTTCCTTGGTTATCTAGGTGGGTTCCATCCAGGGGTTTGAAAAGCACGACTCATAGAACTTCTTATAGGAAAAGAATATCTGACTATGAACTATGGGCTGGCTCCTCCTCTTGTCTCTTCTTCCTACTTTCTGTTCCCCTATTTCTCAGTTCTTCCTTCTCTTCTCCTTCCCCTCTTCTTCATGCTTCCCTCCTATCTCTGTCCATTTTGTCTTTTTTTTTCTGTGACTTTGCATATATCCATGCATGTCTAGGATTGTTAATGAGGGTGTGATGTAGGTGTGTTTAATGTGTGCAGGTGTATGTGCATGCTTGTGCTCCCAAATGTGGATATCAGAGGTCAGCCTCTGTTGGCATGCCATTGCTCATTGGTTGTCCACCTTGCTTTTTGCTTTATTTTGTTGTGAAAGGAATTGTCTTACATTTACCAATTAGGCAATCTGGCTAGCCATAAAACATCAGGACCCCTCCTGTCTCTGTCTGCCCAGACTGAAATTATGAGTCACACATGAAATTATGAGTCATGCTTGGGTTTATTAAGTGGCTTCTGGGGATTGAACTCAGGTCCTATATGCTTACACAAAAAGCACTTTAACAACTGAGCTATCTCATTAGCGCTCACCTCCTTCCTTTGACCTTGTAGAAAAATGACTCCTGAGTGTCAGAACCTAATCAGCCTCTGTCATGGTGCATAAAAAAAAAAATAATCTTCTCATTGTCATAGAAGAAACAGCCTAGAGCATGCATCATGCTACCTCGTAATGGAAGTCTACTTTGGCCCATGCCATGTTCAAGGTTTTTGCCTACCTGTAGCTTGATGTGATATTAACTTTTAATTCACCCTTTCCCATATTAAACATTGACTCAGCCTTTTCTTTACTAAATCAGTGGGGCAAGCAATGAGTTAAGAAAATGGGAGAGGAGATCGATTCTTAAGGAGTGCACAGGAAACTTTCAAAGTTTCACCTTTCATCAGTCAGTCCAATAGATGATGCTTGTCACTGCTCAGTTAAACATAAACTAAAAGAATAACCCAATGTCAAAAATGCACTCATTACAGGGTTTTAAGATGACCATAAAGCTAGAGGGTAAACTGATGGCAATAAATGTACATTTCTGTTCCTTTCTGGCCAAATATTCACAAGAGCAGAAAGATATCAGGCACAGGAATAAATGCAGCTAGCTGTCTTGATATTCATCCTAACTTCTGAGCAGTACAGAACATCCTGACCTGACTACAGAGTTAAACACTGCTAGCAACCAAATGCAGTTAATTATTCCTCAGTTGGTATAACAACAGAGGAGTACAGTTCTCAGATGCAAAGCTCTTCCTACTCATACTAGGCAAGAAGTCTTTAGTTTCATCTCAGTAGACACAACTTGAGGTGACCAACCTTTGTTCCTTTCCTGATTTGCTAGCCATAACCCTTCTTGCAAGGCTATCTTTCTCCCCCATATTTGTGTTTAGCCAACTCTCTCTTAATGTTTTCTTCTGCAGATTTTTCTGTCTAAAGAAAATGCAGGAACACAGAGTGGAGCAGAGACTGAAGGAAAGGACATTCAAAGACTGCCCCACCTAGGGATCCATCTCATCAGAAGACACCAAGCCCCTACACTATTGCTCATGCCAAAAAGTGTTTGCTGACAGGAGCCTGGTATAGTTGTTGTCTGAGAGGCTCTGCCAGCACCTGACTAATATAAATGCAGATACTCACAGCCAACCATTAGACTGAGCCTGGGGACCTCAATGAAAGAATTAGGGGAAACACTGGAGGAGCTGAAGGATATTACAACCCCATAGGAAGAACAACAATATCAATTAACTAAATTCCCCAGAAATCACAAGGACTAAACCATCAGCCAAAGAGTATACATGGATGGGTCCATGGCTGTAGCTAGATACATAGCAGAGGACTGCTTTATCTGGCATCAATGGGGGAAGAGGCCCTTGATCCTGTGAAGGCTCAGTGCACCAGCTTAGGGGGAAGCTAGAGCAGTGAGGTGGGAGTAGGTAGGTGGGTGGGGAAGCACCCTCATAGAGACAAAGGAGAGGGGAAATGGGATAGTGGCTTGCAGAGCAGAGACCAGGAAGGGGGACACCATTTGAAATGTAAATAAATAAAATAGTCAGTCAATAAAGAAAAAAAAGAAAATGTGCTAAGTAGTATTAAGGAGTGATTGTTGTGTGCCAAAGGGCTCCAAGTGTGGTGCCTCATTAGAAATTTGTAGCTACGCTATGGGAAAATTTCATTAAGTTCTCTCAGCTGTGATGTGAGGTACTCCTGCCCATAAGTCAAGCATCTCTTTCCACTACACAGGGGATCCCCTCAGTCCTAAGGAGTAGAACGTAGTGAGAGACTTGCTTTCAGCAGGGGCTGGGGATATTCGTGCTGCTCAGGAGAATGAGTACCTCCAACATAAACAATTATCACTGGCTTCTTGAAATATAGAACAAGGGTCAGCAAGCTGTTTTTATAAAAGCCAATAAGTAAATACTTCAGCTTTTTCAAGGACACATGGTCTCTAGGGTAACCACTTGATTCTGCTGTTGTTAACATGGAAGCTTCCCAGGTAGAGACAGAATGCCAATAAAACTTTATCTACAAACACTCATATTATCTGACTAACTGGAGAAATCAAACCAGACAACCAGACAGTTCACAGTCCAGCATCCAGTGTCCTCCAACTGGTTCTATGGTACAGAATTGACTCTGAAAATTCTTCTCAGATGTGTTTGTAAGGGAGATGACCACTAAAGTGGTAGGCCACAGGGAAGGTAGACTTCTGAGACCTGAGAAACAGGCATGGACTCTCTCTGTACTGAAAAGATTGTTCAGTGGGTAATATGCTTGTCATGCAAGCCTGAGGACCTGAGTTCAGATCTCCCAGAGCCTCTATAAAGCCAAGCATGGCAGTATATGATTGAAATCCAAGTGTTATGTTGAGAAAGGCGGTGGATTAGGACCATCTCCAGAAGCTTATAACCCAGCTATTCTGCCATAGGTTGTGGTTAGTGACAAACAGGTCCTGTTTCAGACAAGGTAAAGAGTAGAAAGTAATACCTGAGATTGAGGTTGTCTTCTGGTCTTCACCTATATGTCATGTCATGGCATGCATGTGCTGGAACTCACTCACATCATGCATGCACTATATATGAATACATATATATATATATATATATATATATATTCTTCCCTTACCTATCCCTTATTTGATAGTCTTCTTTCTGTTTCCCTCCTTGTAGCAGAACAGTGGGGCTATCTCTATGTAAACATTGGGGGCCTCATAGCCACAAAAGCATCTCCTGCAAGAGGACCTAATTGAGGACTGCCTGAGAGATCAAGGATTGCTGATGCAGACAATGCCAGCCAATCGGGAAGTGCTGTTTAGAAGAGATGCTTTCTTGGGACCAATGGAGCAGGGGGGAGGGTTTTTAAAGGAGCTTGCTGCAGCATTTCTTTCTGTTCCTGTAGTCTGTGTGGTTGACTCTGTACCACCTCACCTCCAACACCCAACGACAGGTAGGGTCAGGCAGCAAGTAGTCCAGGGCACAGGCAACACCTCTTTTGATCTTAAGATAAAAATTCAAATGCCAAAATAAATCTAGCTTTTATGTGTAAGAAAACTGTTAATTTGTTACCAGTAAACTAACAAAGTTCCTGGAAAGTTCTCTGGAATTTTTCTTTTTAATTTCAGACATTTCAGCTAGCATGATCTGAAGTCTACCCGAAGGAAGACAACAGGAATGCAAGCTTAACAATTAATCATGAGAACTTGAGCCTGGTTAACATTATTTTTCACAACTGAGACACAGAGGTTTGGGTTTTTTGTTTTTGTTTTTTTGTTTGTCTTTTTGTTTGTTTGTTTGTTTGTTTGTTTTATTTTTTGGCTTTGGGGTTTTGTGTGTGTGTGTGTGTGTGTGTGTGTGTGTGTGAATTTGGGGCTGGAGAATAGAGAAAAGATCACCAGATTC